GTTACAAATCATTTTTGGTTATTTTAATTTTTGTATCCTCAATGCTTACTTCTTATCAATGTGTGTGTTCCAAGGAACAGAGAAAGCAAGCTGAGCTCTTGGGATCTACTGTGAGGGGAAAAAAAAATATAGGAAGCCAACTTGGGCCTGAGAAAGCAGGTGAAAATGGCAGTGTGGTTTCCTGGCTAGATAAAAGAAAAGTTATGAAACTGCAGATTTCTTTTCTTTTCTTTTTTTTTTTTTTGAGACAAAGTCTCGCTTCTTTGCCCAGGCTGGAGCGCAGTGGAACAATCTTGGCTCATTGCAACCTCCGCCTCCTGGGTTCAAGCAACTCTCCTGCCTCAGCCTCCCGAATAGCTGGGATTACAGGAGTGCGCCGCCACGCCCAGCTCACTTTTTTGTAGAGACAGGGTTTCACCATGTTGGCCAGGCTGGTCTCGAACTCCTGACCTCAAGTGATCCGCATGCCTCGGCCTCCTAAAGTGCTGGGATTATAGGCGTGAGCCATCGCGCCAGGCCAGAAACTGCAGATTTCTTCAAGGGCTGGTAGCCTAAAACGAAAAGCCCAAACTCAAAGATTTAAATTTAAAGAAAATTAAAGGAAATAATTACCCAAGGATGATATACAAGCTGAAAACATATAAATAGCTTCATCAAGTTTAGAAAACAAATTAAATTATATTCTATCTACAAGTTTTTACCAAAACTATATTCATATATTATTTGTATATTTAGAAATAAAATGGGACAGACATGATACCTCATGCCTGTAATCCCAGATCTTTGGGAGGCCGCGGGAGGACGGCTTGAGGCCAGGAGTTTGAGACCAGCCTGGGCAACAGGGCAAGTCTCCATCTCTACAAAAAATGAGCTGGGTGTGGTGGTACATGCCTATAGTCCTAGCAACTCAGGAGGCTGAGGCAGGAAGATCACTGGAACTCAGGAGTCGGATCGCATCACTGCACGCAGTCGGGCCTGAGCAACAGAGACCGACCCTGTTTGTGACTGTATACATTCACTTTTTGGAAGGCAGGGCCTCACACATCGCTCAGGCTGGGGTGTAGTGGTGCAGCCTTGACGCTCTTGGGCTCATTCTTGACCTTTTTTTTTTTTTTTGAGACGGGGTCTTGCTCTGGCACCTAGGCTGGATCATAGCTCTCAACAGCCTTGAACTCCTGGACTCAAGCAATCCTCCTGCCTCAGACTCCTGAGGAGCTAGGAGCAGAGGCCCGCATCACCATGCCCAGCTAATTTTGAAAATTTTTTTGTAGAGACAGAAGCCTCGTTTTGTTGCTTAGGCTGGTACTAAATTCCTGGGCTCCAGCGATCCTCCTGCCTTGGCCTCCCAAAGTGCTGGGATTACAGACGGCAGCCACCACACTGGACCTTGACTCTTTCTTCTCCCTGAGCTCCCCACGTTCAACCAAGTCTTTTGGATTCTACTGTAATAATATGGCTTGTGTCTGTTCACTTCTTCCCACCTCCAAAGCCATTTCTTGGTTCAAGTCTTTTTCATATCTCACTTGGAACTACCGTAGCACCCTCCTTGTCTCCTATTTCTAGTCTTACTCTTCTCCAAACATTTTACAAAGCGGCCAGGGTTGTATTTCTGAAGGGCAGACGTTATTCCCCTATTTAAAGCATCCAATACCTCCCAACTATTTTCAGGATAAAGTCAAATAATTTATCGTATGACCCTTCAACATCTAGCCCCAGCTTGTACCACCCACTGGGTGAATTTTACCCTTAAGGCACAATGAACCAGCCACTGCAATTTTCCACCTACTGTGCTCTCTCTCTCCCCCCAGCCTCAGCCCTTTGCATATGCTATTTCCTTTGCCTGGGAATCACTATCACCTCCCTTTTCCTTCTTGAGCTAACTCCTACTTGTTCTTTATACTTCAATTGACCAATGGCTGCTTTGGTCCCACGGCTATGTGCTCTCATATACTGGGTGTGTACCCCAAAACAAAATTAATTACACTATAACTGCCTATTCAGTCTCTTGCATCCTCCACTAGAATGCACTGAGACAGCAAGAGATCTTGTCCACTGTATCTTTAGTGAGGGGCACACTGTCGATAATTACTTCCTAAGTCAATGAAGAGGAGAAATCTTCTAAACAAGCCTCTGATTTTCTACTGTCATTTCTCCCGGCTTGAAGGAAAAAGTCTCCGCCCAAGAGTTATAAGAGGATATCCCAGCCAGGCGCGGTGGCTCACGCCTGTAATCCCAGCACTTCGGGAGGCCGAGGCGGGCAGATCACAAGGTCAGGAGATCGA